GTCAACTTTGCTTGACGTTCTATTGACAAATGCCCCTCACAATTTCGCACTGACTGGTGTTCTGGGTAATAACCTTAGTGATCACTCCTTCATTTTTGGTGTGAGATCATCAGCCAGACCCAAAGCCCCCCATAAAATTGTTGAGAAGCACTTTGAGGCACTTCAGCACTCAGGCATTTACAAATGATGTGCTTCACTCGGATATTGATAAGGTCTGTGATATCCCCAACCTGACTACGGCTTGGGAGACTTTCAGGTACACGTTTCTCCAAATTCTTAACAAACATGCTCCGTTGGTTAGATTTAAAACTAAAGTCAACCGCCCACCATGGTATGATCCTTTGATTACAAAGCTCATGAAAACTAGGGACAAGGCTTGGGCATGTGCTCAGAAAAGTAATTTGGTAAATGACTGGCTAGAATACATGATTTTAAGGAATGGATGTGTAAAAAAAAGTACGGCATGCAAAAAATGCCTACTTTTCCTCCACTCTCCTGGAATCACATGGAAATGCCAGGATTTTTTTGGAAAACAATCAAATCTATCGAAAAGGCATCCAAAACAGAAAATCTGCCCGTTGAGCTTAACCGAAATGGGGAATATTTTTCAGATCCCAAAAAAATAGTTGACAATTTTAACCTTCATTTTTCTGAAGCTGGTAATCTTTTTTATAATGTATTGGGAGTCACCCCTGTTCCTGCAAATTCCTACACCCCTGTCCAAACATTAAACGAATTTAGTTTCTAACCAATCCACGAAAGTAATGTTCTGAAACAACTGTCCTACCTCAAAGGGTCCTCCTCTACCGGAGCAGATAGTTTTCCCGTCTTTGCTCTACTAACTGTTGGTCACCTAATATACAAACCTATAGCCCATATTTTCAATCTGTCCATCAAATAAGCATCAGTTCCTCTAGAATGGAAACATTCCTATGTCCGTCTACTTCACAAAGGGGGCCCTAAAGATGATCCCAATAACTACAGACCTATCTCAATTGATGAAAATTTTTGAAAAATTATTGAACTACCAAATTAGCAGTTTCCTGTCCACCAACAATCTACTACATCTAAAACAATCTGGGTTCTGGAAAAAATACAGCACCACATCTGCTGCATTAGACTCTTTGAATCAAATTTACAATAGCCTTGATAATAAGCAGTACTGTGCCTGTCTTTTTCTTGACCTGTCCAAAGCTTTTGATACAGTAGACCACAACACCCTGCTTAGTAAACTAAGTTGCCTCGGTTTTTCCGAGAACACAGTACAATGGTTAAAAAATTACCTCTTTTCTCGCACCCAAACTGTATTCACAGATGGTTGGAGGTCAAACAGTGTTAAAATAACAAAAGGGGTTCCACAGGGTTCCATCCTCGGCCCCCTCTTGTTCTCTCTTTATGTCAATGACTTGGGCACTGACCTGGATCATTTCAGGGTAAATCTTTTTGCAGATGACACGATACTGATTACTGCTGGCCGCTCTCCGGATGACGTGATTGCTAAGCTCCAGGGTGATTTCAACAAACTACAACATCAGCTAGTTTCTCTTAAACTAGTCTTGAATACCTCCAAAACCAAAGTGCTATGCTTCTCACCGGGACTAAAGCAGGAAGTTATTTTTCCCCAATTACATTCCTTGAATAATTATCAAATAGAGCAAGTCAAGATCTATAAGTATCTTGGGGTCATCCTGGATTCTAAACTTAGTTTTGAAGATCACATTGATTATATTGGTAAAAAGACAAAAATAAAAATTGGTTTTCTGCATCGACACAAGCACTGCTTCCCCCCAATGTTCCGTTTGGAATTGATAAAAGCTACCATACTGCCTCTACTTGACTACTGTGACATCGTGTATAAATCAGCCCCAAGTACTGTACTGAAGAAGCTTGATTCCATCTATCACTCGGCCTTAAGATTTGCATTGAACTGCCCATATAGGACTCACCACTGTGATCTCTACATTGGGTCAAACTTAACATCTCTTAATGTTCGACGGCTTGTGCACCAGAACTTATTTATTCACGATGTACTTACAAAAAATTCCGCAGACTACCTACTGGATCTCCTCTCTGTTTCAAAGAACAAATTTGACCTCAGGTCTTCGCTCATTTACCAGCTTCACATTCCCTATTGCCGTACAAAAACTGGAGGAAGGGCCTTTGCTATTGATGCCCCCAGGGTCTGGAATGCTATTGCCAATAAACTGCAACTTGAATCACTACCTATGAGATCTTCACTCAAAACTGCTCTAGAGGAGTTGTACACCCCTAGCTGCCACTGCTATTCAGTGTCCTAAAATATGGCTCTAGTTTTTGGTGTTATAATTTATTTATGTAGTTTATTGTAAAAAAATTCGGTCACAGTCCCTATGATCACTGTTACATTGCATTTATGGCTTTTATTTTGGTGATTTCGAAAAGTTTTTTTTGTTTTGGCCATGTTTTTGTTTATTGTAGTACGGAGTTATACTGATGGTCTTAATCTTAGTTGTCTTGTGGTTGTTGTTGTTATTTGACTTGGATCCCACTGGGATTTTTGCACACAGCGTTGGTTTACGGTGCTATTTTAGGAATATTTTGATGTTTTTTTTTCCTGGATTTTTCTGTTTGCACAGTCACACATAGTCACTTTAAGATGTTTTCTTGTTCGTGTTTTTGTTTGTTGCGGTTGCACCCGATTCAAGAGCCGAATGGCTCACAGGGCTATACCAAATAAATGAACACCGGTGACGATAATCTGAAGCGGACCTGGGCCTCCCCTAGGTCGACTCAGCCACAAATCAGTACCTGGTGCGGTGTGTAAACATCGCTACTGGAGAGACAAAAGGCGGTCAGGCGTGGTAGTGGCCACCCACCCCTTGTGTACCACTCCGGCCTTGGGTGCAGTGTTTGTAGGGTGTGCTCTGGGTGTGGTTTTTGTGGGGTGTGCTCTGGGTGTGGTGTTTGTGGGGTGTGCTCTGGGTGTGGTGTTTGTGGGGTGTGCTCTGGGTGGGGTGTTTGTGGGGTGTGCTCTGCGTGCGGTATTTGTGGGGTGTGCTCTGGGTGTGGTGTTTGTGGGGTGTGCTCTGGGTGTGGTGTTTGTGGGGTGTGCTGTGTGTGGTGTTTGTGGGGTGTGCTCTGGGTGCGGTGTTAGTGGGGTGTGCTCTGGGTGTGGTGTTTGTGGGGTGTGCTCTGGGTGTGGTGTTTGTGGGGTGTGCTCTGGGTGCGGTGTTTGTGGGGTGTGCTCTGGGTGTGGTGTTTGTGGGGTGTGCTCTGGGTGTGGTGTTTGTGGGGTGTGCTCTGGGTGTGGTGTTTGTGGGCTGCCGGTATTCGCGTGTGGCTGTGTTGATGCGTTGGATAGAGCTTGTGGTGGTTACGTGGTGTAGCTGTCGTGGATATATATAGGGGTGTGTTTAACACGTAGTAGGCTGTCGCGAACAATATTATCCATAAGAGGTGTTTTAGGTTAGATCGCGTAAATATAATAATTTGTCGTGACACCCGCCACCACCCGACACAACCAATTACAAGGTTTATCACGTAAACAAAACATGCGAAATCGTTACCAGTTCAGTTGGAGAGTAAACCCACAACATTTACAATTCGGGTACTGTGACGTCTCGCCGGTAATTAGAACCGGCATCATCAGGCGGCAGCCAGAGATGTGGGGAAATCCTCCTCCTGTTTCGCTCTTAAATCGATGGGTGAAAGTGACGCGGTCGCTCGTGAGCCAATGGAGCTGAATGGATGTGCAGATGACAGGTACCAGCGGTGTCAAGCTTGGCCTCTGTGTACGTATGTTGAACTTCTTTCACACCGCACGCAGCCAACCGTGCCCATCGAAGGCGCGGGTAACAACAAGCTGAGCAGAACGCTTTGCAATCGTCGTTTCAGCTCACGCGCCCGGTGAGCCTGAAGGGCGATTCTTCCACGACCACCTCGAGCCATCAGATACGCGACGTCTCTCGCTCGGAAAATGCGCCGCTCGTCTCGTCAGGGACAGGCGGAAAACCCCGCCACGTGGCCCCAACCCGAACGCACGCGGACGAATGGCATCGGCTTCGCGTTAACAGCGGTGCAGGAAGGGTCCTGTGGAGGGAGCCCCCCCCCCCCCCCCCCGCGAGACGTGGCACAGTCCATGTACAGCACTTTGTTGTCAATCCACTCGCTGGTAGATGATGGCTTCCACACCCCCCCTTCCGCTGTGCTGGTCACAGGGAGGGGAAGGGGGGGGGTGACCATACTTGACCACGCTGGTCAGCGCCGGTTTGATTCAGTGGGTGGGCGGCCAGAACGGCTTCGGGTATCATTCACCATCGATGTGACCCCACGCTGAACAGGATTAGAACTCGGGTCACAGCGGGCTTCAACAACAACAACAACCGCCATTCGCCACTAAAGTGGCGGTGACGTCACCACGACGCTTGTGCCAGGCTAGGTGCACTTTAAGGCCACGTGAAGTGTCGAACGCCCGCTGGCAGCGGGTCACGGATTGGACTGAGCTAACTTGGCCGAGGTTCACAGCACACACACACGGGGGGGGGGGGGGTGGGGTGGGCTAAACGATCCCGAGGAACGCGCCTTGTTTACCGGACGGGACACTCGGCGTGGCTTCAGTTCACCCCCAGGGTTGGGGGGGGGGGCGATGGTGGTGGGGGCTGGGGGGGGGGGAGAGACGTCCCTCGCGTTATCGGCCAGCAACGCCCCCACCCCCCCTCCTGCACCGGCACCGCGTGTGATGCAGCATTGGGAACGGCTCCCTCCAGCCCCGCACCACTCGCCAGAGGCCCACTCGTCGCGTATCGCAAAGCTCAGCTCGACAGGGATCCGATGTTGCTGCTGTTGTTGTTGTCCGTACTTCTATGCTTTCACGTCAAGGCTACCATCATCTCTCACCAACTCCACACCACCGGTCACCGCGCACCAAACTCTCCCTCCACGTCACCTCGCTCCACGCACCAAATCTCGACACGATATAAGAATTCTGATTAAAATAATAATAGAATGTTCATACAATTGTACACCGTTATTTTTTTGTTTATTGCACTTTAAACATTTTCTTTAGAAAACAATTCTTTACATTTCCTTGACTAAAGAGATACATTCTCGAGCGCAGCATCACTTGGCTCATGTTGGCTGACTTTGTACAATTTAACGGCAGAAACTAATGAATCGTCGGTACCTTGCCCGGACTCCAAAGATACATTTGGTTAAATAAAGTAAACAATGTTCATATTTTACTGGCTTTTGTGAGTAGTAATGCTCTCTGCTGATGATGATGACACTTGAGAGTGTGGAGAGGAGAGAGGATCCTAGTGTCTCTCTCCTTGTTTGTTCTCCCTACAGATCACACCCAGGCCTACAGATCACACCCAGGCCTACAGATGAGACCCAGGGCTACAGATGAGAGCCAGGTCTACAGATCACACCCAGGTCTACAGATGAGACCCAGGTCTACAGATGAGACCCAGGTCTACAGATCAGACCCAGGTCTATTGATGAGACCCAGGTCTACAGATGAGACCCAGGTCTACAGATGAGACCCATGTCTACAGATCACACCCAGGTCTACAGATGAGACCAGGTCTCTAGATCAGATCCAGGTCTACAGATCAGACCCAGGTCTACAGATGAGATCCATGTCTACAGATCACACCCAGGTCTACAGATGAGACCAGGTCTCTAGATCAGATCCAGGTCTACAGATCAGACACACGTCTGGACTTGGGAAACCTTCTCTCTGCATTGTTGTTTCTTGGGGCTTGACCCCACACTTCTCCATCCCCTGTCCTCCTTGCTGACATCTCCACACACAGCGTGTCTACGACATGCCGCTAAACCTGTGCTCATAAAAGACACCTCGTTATTTCCATGAAATGCTTCTTACGTTTCCACAAGATGAAGGTGAAGTTTGAACGGCCCCCGAAATCAGGGAGGCTCACGGGGCACGACTCCCACGAGCCACGACTCCGACTCGTAGCCCAGTGGTGCCGTGCCGGTGGTCGTCATCGCAGTGCGGCACGAGGCTGGCCTACCGCGTGGTGACGCGGATGACGTCACAGGCAGCGTGGTTTTACCCGCCGTAGTAACATTTATTAATTTTGGGAGTGTGATTGATAACAATATAATATATAAATATAAATAAAAACATTGAGGGGTCCCCACCCCTACTCGGACTGCAACCTGTCTCGGTCAAATTCGGGCAGCCCCTAAAAATAATTTAAATATATACATAGGCCAATCCGTTTCAAAGGCAATCCATATATTATCAGAGCATATTTGTTTACATCTTTTGCCACAAGTATGTGTGGTTAATGCAGACCTGATACCTTGCTTGGCATTTGAACATCTTAACACCTCCTGTTTCATTGCCAGAAAGGGTAAAGACTATTCTTATATTTTTCATCAATTTTATACTGGCAAAGAAAGGTCCCGTAGATATTATTGAAGCAATTAAAATTCACACTCCCGAAGCTTTGATCCGGACAGCCTGCAGGAGCTGGCTTCCGTCTGTGTTTGGGTGGCGGCAGGAGTTGGATTGTACGGAGATGACGTCACCAGTGATGAGATGTGGTCACCGGTGATGAGATGTGGTCACGTGATGATATGTGGTCACCGGTGATGAGATGTGGTCACCGGTGATGAAATGTGGTCACCGGTGATGAGATGTGGTCACCGGTGATGAAATGTGGTCACCGGTGATGAGATGTGGTCACCGGTGCTGGCTTAGAAATCTGCCCCTGTTTGGTCAAGTGAGAGAGTGTGGCGACCCTAGGTCACACCCTCCCCTCCCCTCCAATGCCTCCCACTCCAAACCTCCCCGTTATCTTTCACATTCTATGTCGAGGGACACGCTGCGATCGCGTCACGTGCGCACCTCCGATTAGCACGGTTGGCTACGTACGGTGCGAAAGAAGGTCAGCGTCCATGCATACATCGTGTCTGGTGTCTTACTCCTCGCTAACGCACACAAACGCACGCGCTTCACAAACGCACGCGCTTCGCAAACGCACGCGCTTCGCAAACGCACGCGCTTCACAAACGCACGCCCGCGCGCCGTTCAGGAACGACGACAACCGACGAACGCTCAGGCCACAGGAAAGTGACAACAGCGCGGTACAACAGCGCGGTACAACAACCCGTCGCTACGCGCCGCCGGAACGACTCCACGAAAACACGCGACCGGGGAGAGAGGCTCTCTGTAAACTTGCCCCGGGGGGAGGGGGGCGGGTGTAACGTGGCCAATATCGTAGCCTTGTGAGGTTGGGGGGGGGGGGGGGTGGCAGAAAACCCAAGCGGGACCCCCGCAACGTGAAGCGGCGTTCACCAAGCGCGTCGCGACGCGGCCACGGCGCCGACCTGATGTCAGCCTCCATTCCGCTGAGCCTGCTCCCCACTTCTCGTCGCTTCGTCGTCCTCGCTCGCTGTTCACGCTCTTGGAATTGTGTCGTTTTTATTTCCGGCGACTCGGGGTCGGACGCTTCCTCAAATGAGCCTCATCCGGCGTCTCCTTGAGCTCTCGCCTGGTTAAATAAAACTCACCTCAACCTATCGGTTCGAAAACGAAGGAGTTGCGCGCTGCATGCGCCTGATGGTTGGTAAACACGTCCCGTGAGATGTAGAGGCCGCAAATGTTACATTTTACTTGGGGCTGCCTGTATCACGTGAAACACAACGTGTACTCACAAACATGCCCGTAATGTGTCTATAATTAAATTAGCGCAGGCTGGGACACGCGAGTACAAAGATCCCCCCTATAGCCTGAACAGAGTGTTGGAGCAAGTGCTGTTAGCGAGCGCCTATAAAGGCCTTTACGGCAAACGAGGGGGTGGGTGGCCAACACCACGCCCGACCGCCTTTGTCTCCCTAGTGGCGATGTTTACACATAGCACCGGGTACTCATTTGAGGCTGAGTCGACCTAGGGGAGGCACTGGACCGCCTCTTTGTTGGCCGTGAATCGAACCCGGGTCGCCAGGTTCGTAGCGCAGCGCGCTAACTTCTACTCTACCACTCCCACACACACTCATCTCTATCTTTGAACTGGAGCTCTCTAAATCATGTTGGACCCACACGCTCGCAGTCGATACTCATCTCTGCCTTAGCTCGAATCGGCACTCTCTGTGTCACGTGGGACATGTTCAGCAATCATCAGGCACGTGCGGCGTGCAACCGCTTGTATGTGAATAGAAACGTTGGCGAATGTGTATAGCTGGGTCCTGTGACCCTTAGAGACCCCCGTCTCCCGGGGTCACCGCGAGGGGCCTGCTGGGCTAGTTGGTCAGCTGCAGAGATAACGCGAGCATTGTGCGGGGCTAGTTGGGTTGTCAGCACGAGCGGATGGTTGGCTCGAGATGCGTTCGTGCCAGTGACTGACTGCCTAGCGTGGTAATGGTGAGAGGTAGGGCTAGTATGATATATTTGGCTTGTTAGTGAGGGCTCGAGATGTCTTGGGGGCTGGTGGTCGTCTGGCTGGTTAGTCGGGGGGGGGGGGAGCTCATTGTTACCCTGCTCTTCTGACTCCGCCGCCAAATCACTCGCCCCTCCTCGGCGCTGGAACCACATTCGCTCTTCTGGTCGTGTCCCTCCTCCCGCTAGCGCGCGGACAGCCCCGAGATGGTGCCGGGCGAAGACGCCGGCGGCGAGCCGCGCGCTGCACCCGCTGCCACCGCCGACTCGGAACTCTCCGGCGACAGGCGCGGATCCACACGACGACATTCATCAATACCCCCCCCCCCCCCATCCTCACCCCCTCCTCCAGCCTCCCACCGCCTACTTGAAGGCGTCTCTATCACCACAATGACCAAGCGACAACACACACACACGCGCGCGTGTGTACACGGTGCGAGCGGTGGCTGCCTGCGTGGGGAGCCTGACCCAGACGCGCTGCCTCACACAGGGGAACGCTCCCTCCCTGCCGTGGACCCCGGCAGAGCGGCCCTCTCCTCGTGCCCCACGGGGTCACCGCTCGGGCCAGCGGAGTGTCCCTCCAGCCAGCCTCGCGCGGGTTCCAGGGCCTGCCAGGTCCGGCCCTCGATCCGGCCAGGGCCGTGTGTGGGAGGCGTCGCCGCAGCCGCCGTGGGAGTCCCCAACAACCCTCGCACCCCTCTCTCGCTCTCTCTCTCGCAGGCAGCCGAGACGCCGATCGATTGATCGGCGAAATAAATTAACTCGCAGGCAGAATCTGCGCGACGAGTCGCAGGACCCGGGTTTGTGATACTCGCACGCAGAGTGTTAGACCGGGGTGGTGGGGGTGGTGGGTCGCAGCGATCCTCCCCCCCCCACCCGCGCCCCACGCCCTCGTCGCACGCCGCTCGCTCCGCCACTCGAGCGGGACTCGAGCGGGCCTCAGTACTTCCACGTGGCCGGCAGGGCGCAGTAGAGCGAGCCGCTGTAGCAGCAGACAATCTCCTTGAAGGTGTGGCGCATCTCGTGCGAGCGGAAGGCGTAGATGATGGGGTCGATGACGGAGCTGAGCATGATGAGCACCAGGTAGAGGTTGAAGTGCGACATGTAGCACACGCAGTAGGGGCTGCGCGGGCACGACACGATGAGGATGAGGTGCAGGAAGAAGGGCGCCCAGCACACGATGAACACCCCCAGCAGGATGGTGAGCGTGATGGCGCCACGCATGCTCGTCTTGTGCTGGATGATGCCGCTGGCGGGAAGGGCGGCGATGCGCTTGGCGTGCAGCCGCGCCAGCATGAACATGTGCACGTAGAGGGACGCCATGAGCACCAGCATGGTGAAGAACATGGCGATGAGGCAGATGATGACGGCCGTGCTGTCCGAGTAGACGATGAAGATGACGCCGCAGAGCGTGCACGTGCCCCAGATGGCGCCGATGATGGAGGCGGCGCGACGCACCGTCATGATGTTGTGGTAGCGCAGCGCGTAGAAGATGGTCACGTAGCGGTCGACCGCGATGGCGAGCAGGCTGCACATGGAGGCCACCACCGAGGTGCAGATCATCGAGTCCATGATGTTGTCCATCTGCTTGAGCGTGTCCTCCTGCATGGCCAGCGAGCCGTTCTGCAGCAGCGCCATGATGATGGTCTCCCACGCGTTGGACACGCTCACGAGCATGTCGGCCACCGCGAGGCTGCAGATGAAGTAGTACATGGGCGAGTGCAGGTTCTTGTTCTTGAGGATGGCCGTGATGACCAGGATGTTCTCCAGCAGGCTGATGACGCCCAGGATGAGGAACACCTCGACGGGGATGAGCACCTGCTCGCACGGCCGCCCGTGGCCTCCGCCCGTCGCGTTGCCGTGGCCCGAGTGATTGCCGTGGCCCGCGTGGTGGTTGGCGCCCTGGTGGTGGTTGTTGACGACGCCGCCGACTCCGCCCGCTGCCGAGAAGGTCATGGCGCGAGGGTAGCTCATGGCCGGCCGCCGGAGCCGCGGCGGCGGCGGCGGCTGCGGCGCTAGCGGCGCCGCAGCCGGGGAGACGCGGAGGGGGGGGTCCTGCCGGGCCGGACGGGCATCGTCGCGGGCTCACGACTCACCCCGCCGCACGCGGACGGACGCCGCTGCGGTGGCCACCGATCTCTTCGACACGAACGCCTTGTGACGATGTTCTCGTGGACAGCGGTGCGGTGGGCAGCAATCCCGTCGACCCCGGCCTTCTGCCAAGGGCTCGGAGCATCGGACGCGGAGTTGGGAGCTCGCGGGGGGTCCTCAAAGGGACCGGCTCGGGGGTCCCGGTCGCCCCATTGAGGGGCCGTCCATAAATGACGTCACGCACCTAGGGAGGGGGGGGGGGAGTCAGACACTTGTGACGATGTGTAACGAACGGGGGGGGGGGGGGTTTGAGAAATGTGACGTCACGTCAAAATGCGCAACTTTAAATAAATATAGAATTGTTTTAACAACACTTCTACAACATCAGAGTGCATCAAAATGGAAATATGGTTTTGGGGGGGGGGCAGAGCTTTGTGACGTCATATTTGAGGGGGGGGGGTCTGACTTTTTGTGACGCCGTGTGACGAGGGGGGGGGGGTAAAAAATTGCCCAAAATCGCGTGACGTCATTTATGGACGGCCCCTGATCCGCGATGACCGGGGGATTACGACGACGTTGTTGCTGCTGCTGTGCAGTGAATGTACCGCGTGGTGCCGATGGAGAGTGACGGCGAAGTTGATGTGGAGGGCACGTGACGGAAGGGATCGACCATGGACGCACAGCGGGCCTGAGCCTGCTGCTCGCGACGGGGCGGCCACGCGCACGCCGGGCAGGGAGAGGCTGCCAGACGCCTCCCACGTGCAAGCGAGCAGGAGAAGGCGATGGCGAGCGAGCGCGGAGCCTCGGTCCGGACACAGCGGACGTCCAGGTGGCAGGGCCTGGAGCGCGGAGCGAGCGGCGGAGGGAGGAGACGGAGCCGCGAGGACGGGGACGAGAGGCGACGCGTGGCCCTGCGGGAAACAAGAGGCGAGGAGAGCGCGTTCCAGACGCTCGCGACACCGAGCGCGGACGGAACGGAGAGACGGCAGATTCCGGAGTCTGCCGTCGCGGTCCGCAGGGATGGGGCTTCGAGAGCGGGAGCCGGAGTAGTTCACCCGCACGCGACTCTCCACAGAGTGTGGGGGGCTACAGCAACGCCTCTCTGTCCGCGACGGTTGCGCTCTTGAAAACGCTCGCGAAATTCAGAAACATTTTCAAAAACGGGGTTACGTTCCTGGTACGAGGTGAACATGGGGGGGGGGTGGGGGGGGGGGGTTGAGGGATGGGATGTTAAACTTAACATTGACTAGAATAAATGAATGGTCAAAAACAAAACGTGTGTTTTTTATTTCTCTTGATGATGAGATGACGACGATGGAAGTGGTTGGTGGTGGTGGTGTTGGTGGTGGTGTTGGTGGTGGTGGTGGTTGGTGGTGGTGGTGGTGGTGTTGGTGGTGGTGGTGGTGGTTGGTGGTGGTGGTGGTGAGGAATTGAGGATGATGACTCCTCGGTAGATGCAGGCGTTTACTAACGACGCCGCACAGGGTTTGTTTTCACTTGCACCACTCTGGGGAGTGACAGTCGCATCACTTTCCCCGATCGCAATCTCGCCCTTCTCCTTGACGTACCTCAACACACGCGGCTCTCGCCGCGGTCGTGGCGAACACTTTCAACTTTCCACTCCAACCCATCGCCACTCTCTTGTGCCTTTTGTTCAGCAGACGCACACACTCTCCTCTCTCGTTGTACACGATTAAGGCCAATTAACAATGAAGTACTGCAGAGAGTAAAACTGCACAAATCGCGAGTTCAGAGCGGCATTGCTGGGAGACTGAGGTCTGAGCGGGCAGCCGAGGGAGCGTGCCTCATCTCCGCGGACCGTTTTAAAAACGTAACGACGCTCCGCGTGCACCTCCCCTGTGCCGGTGGTCTGGCGCTACGCACGCGCGCGAATACCGGAGTCCGCGAATTGGGAATTGGTAAACATTTAGTAGAACTTGCGTTGGCTGCGAAACTCGCGAATCAAGAACTCGCGCTCGGCGAGGGTTTACCGCTTTGACCGGACGATCTTTTGCCTTTTTGTTCCCTCGGGGTCCGTCGCGATTGGCGCTGATGCTGCTGTAACCATCCGGATCGCTCGCTACGGCAGCGTGTAACGCCTCGTGTTCTGGCATGGCTCCGCTGGGAGAGGATATCAGACCCCTGAGATATCCCTTCAAGTGGCCGCTGTGGCCGCACAGCGTGTGGCGGCAGTGCCGGATGAAGCTAGTACGGGGCCTGTAGCATTTGTTATAAAGGGGCCCTAAAAAAACCCCACATAAATATTAAAACACGTAAATGTTTTACTTGCAAAATAAAGTAATTGTATTAATTCATTTGCTATACAGCCAGATAATACGACAAATCGCTAACCTTAAACACCCAGTCGTTAGTAAAAGTTGAAGGCGGTATAGTACTATAGTAATAGAGCAAGTGCAGCATCACTGAACCGGAATTGGTAGCTTGGAAACATCTAGCGCGTGGTCCTTGAAAGTGCGAGGCCCGTAGCACATGTGTAGCTACTACACACGTGTGGCTACTACACACGTGTGGCTACTACACACGTGTGGCTACTACACACGTGTGGCTACTACACACGTGTGGCTACTACACACGTGTGGCTACTACACACGTGTGGCTACTACACACGTGTGGCTACTACACATATGTAGCTACACGTGCTACTGGGATAGTCCGGCACTGTGTGGCGACACTCTCCCACGGGATGGCGATGTTCCTTGCGTGGCAGCCGAACCTGATACTTGATCCAAATAAATGAAGCGTAGAACCAGACGGAAACGTGATGGGTGGTGCTTTTTTTGTACAGCCAGAACCATCAACTCACGACACTCCCTGGATGTGTGTTGAACTTTTTGTAGCACCCAGGAAATCGACGGCGCCGGCTCAACGTCTCGGGGTGGCAGTTCACGTTGGGGCTACCGGTGGGCAGGCATCCCGTCGTGGTGCCCGATCGGGGACCGAGCACACGAAGGAGAGGGAGGCCCCTACTAGTCCCACAAACACCCTCCCGCAGGCGCACCGGGCATTGAACGTGAAGGAGCACAGGGGTCCGGGGAGGAGAGGGGAGGAAGAGGGGAGGAGAGGGGAGGAGAGGGGATGAGTGGGGAGGATCAGGGAGGAGAAGAGGTGAGTGTGGAGGAGAGGGGATGAGATTCTGTGCGGCTGGGACTCTGCCCACGCAAACATCTCGTGCTGCATTCTGCGCACGTTCCACCGAACCCCACCCCCGCACCGCTCCCCTCCACCACCCCACGGAGCCTGGCTCACAGCTTCTACGAACAATCGTCAAGGACCCCCAGAGAGCACGGATCTGGAAGCGTGACGCGGCGCCGCCGACCACCTAATTGGCGAGCTCTTGATAAGGGTTGGAGCGGTGGCACAGTGGTTGGCACACTGTGCTATGAACCAGGAAACATCAGTTCGATTCATGATCACGACCAACGTCGGATATCTGAATCGGTGCCGGACTCAAAACTTCCCTGACCGGCCTGGTGAAGTATGGCCAAACAACCCCCACTACTGACACAGCATGTGGAGGCCTTCATACAGCAGCGGATTGACAATGGGCTGAACTGCCCCCCAGTTTCTTTCGTGAGACTTTGGCTCCGTTTGGGAGGAAATCAAAGGACCCCAGACAGAACCGATCCCCATACAAAGGGGGGGTGACACCCATCGGTCCGCACAGACGGGTTCACGAAGCCGCTCGCTGCACTGCCGTCACCTGGCCACGTGACAGCCCGGCAGTCTTGGTTTGTCGTCGGCGCTGCTCTAAACGTGTTGGGCGAAAACTATTCCCGCATTCGGCACCGATTGAGTAAACCCCTTACCAACACGCGTGGTCGGAGCCGTCCCCTAGGTCACGTCGAATCGGAGCGACCGCCCGGGGGCGGGGGGGGCACACCCTGGTATAGAGGGCCCTGTGCGCGTTCTAGGAAGCGTGTCGGCGGCAGTACCGGGGGGCTACTGGGGGCAGCTGCTGGGGCTAAATCGCATTCGCGCATAATTTCAAGTAATAATGATTGCCGCTCTGGGTTTTCGTATCCCAATTGTTTTTTTGTGGACAGAACTCCCTCCGATCGATTCTCTCTCGGCCAGGTCCCCCCTCCCACCACCCCAATAGCGACGCAACTCTACAGCAGCATTTAACGTGCACTCCGTCATATTTGCGAGAGTCATCGTGACCCCGTGGTACAGGGGGACCGACGCAAAGACGTACACACGGACAGACTGTCAATCAGACCGACAAGATGGGCAGAGGGATGGAGGGACAAACCGATGGACAGATAGAGGATCGGATGAACGGAGCTGATGCATTAACACGCTCGATCTGAGTTTGGAGAGAGTTTCAACGTCGCTGCTGATCGTGGCTGTCGATCTTCAGTGCCAGCGCGTGGGCGCGCGGGGCGATGGAATGGACTGCACGGGGTGCGTGGGGTCACGCCATCACGACCCCACTCCTCGGTACCGTTCATAAAGCAGCCCCCCCACCCCTTGCTGTCTTCCCACCAGCTGAGTGAACGATGGTCTCCGTTTCGTGCAGCGGAACGGAGATGGTGGTGGCGGCGGGACGGAGTCACAGATCGACGGCTCACACACACACCACAAAGATCCCCCGTATAGCCTTTACAGACTGTAGGGGCAAGTGCTGTTAGCGAGCACCTATGAAGGCCGGAACGGTACACGAGGGGGTCGGTGGCCAGAACCACGCCCGGCCGCCTTTGTCTCCCCAGTGGTGATGTTTACACACCGCACCAGGTACTCATTTGAGGCTGAGTCGACCTAGGGGAAGCCCAGTAGCGATTCAGATAATCGTCACTGGTGTTGGCCGTGAGCGGGAATCGAACCAGGGTCGCCGCTACACTACCGCTCACCACAACACACACAACCCACGTTCACACACACACCACGCTCACACACACACACACCACGCTCACACACCACGCCCACACACACATACACCACGCTCACACACACACCACGCTCACACACACCACGCTCACACACACACACACCACGCTCACACACACACACCACGCTCACACACACCACGCTCACACACACACACCACGCTCACCGCTCACACACACACACCACGCTTACCGCTCACACACATACACCACGCTCACAGACACACACATCACGCTCACACACACACACCACCCTCACAGACACACACCACCCTCACACACACAACAACACACACACCACGCTCACCGCTCACACACACACACACCACGCTCACACACCACACACACACCACGCTCACACACACACACACCACACTCACGCACCACACACACACCACGCTCACACACACACCACACTCACACACACCACGCTCACACACACACCACGCTCACACACACCACGCTCACACACACCACGCTCACACACACACCACACACACACACACCACGCTCACACATACACCACGCTCACACACACACACACCACGCTCACACACACACACACCACGCTCACACACACACACACCACACTCACACACACACACCACGCTCACACACACACCACGCTCACACACACACACCACACTCACACACCACGCTCACACACACACACCACGCTCACACACACACACACCACACACACGCCCACCACAACACACACACACCACGTTTTCACCCCTTTGGTTTGTGGCCAAGGAAGTCGCCTTTCTACCCCTCGAGAGCCCTTCCCTGCCGAGTCGCTTCACCGGGACACCTCGCTCACGGCATTCAGCTCCACCCACCCACGTCTTGGTGCCGGTTCGACGACGGCCGGTTCGTCCCGCACTACCCCCCCCCCCCAACGCGGTTTAAGAAGGCGACGCGGAGTCCTCGCGGTGAGCCGGCGGGGGCCGCGGCGAGAAGGCGACGATCGTCTGGCGCCCAGAATCAAACTCGAGAAGGCGACGATCGTCTGGCGCCCAGAATCAAACTCGAGAAGGCGACGATCGTCTGGCGCCCAGAATCAAACTCGAGAAGGCGACGATCGTCTGGCGCCCAGAATCAAACTCGAGAAGGCGACGATCGTCTGGCGCCCAGAATCAAACTCGAGAAGGCGACGATCGTCTGGCGCCCAGAATCAAACTCGTTCTGGGAGAGAGAAAGCGAAAAAAAAAAACCCAAAAACAAACCCCTGAACCGGGAAGGGTCGAGGACGAGATGCGGCGCGGCCCCCTCCACCCCCACCCCCTACCGGTCGCCACCCACGGACGCGCGCGTCCATCGATGCGTGCGCGGGACCCGCGTCCCAGGGTCGGCACCCCGTGAGCGCGTGGCTCGGGGCGGACGAGACGCGAGACGCGTTGGGACGAATCGGCGGGCTTGGGCGGTGCACGGCGCGACGAAGGGATGACGGCCGCCGGGGCGAGACCTTGGCCAAACGTCGCCGGCAGGACCCTCACTGAAGGTGCCCTGAGACTCATTTGACCCTTCACTGGGAAAATGGAGAACTGTCATTTTACTCGGAGCGCAAAAGCCTCGATTGCAATCACCTCGGAAGGCTAAACAGGCACTTGAGCTCGCTTACATCAACCTAAAAACTAAACTATTTTACGTTACCAGGTAAAGTCCACTGAGCTATCGGCTCTTTATCAGAGGCAACCTGGCCACACGTGATGATGGTAGCTCATCAAAGTAGCTGATATCGTCGTCAGACGTGGGAATTTCTCGCAGCAGCAAAATCATCTAAAGACATGCTCATTCTAAATGTGGACGGGAGAATATTCCACGCGATCACCACAGGGAGAGACACAGAGAACGTCAGGGTCAGGGACCGGACCTACGACCTCCTGCGTACAAGGCGAGGGAGATAACATCTCACCAGGGCTTGCCGGGTGCTGTAGGTGCGGGGTGTCAGTGCTGAGTTCTGTCCCGCTCGTCCACGGCAGCGCGGTGCTTGGTGTTATCTGATTCCTTCCTCACACACGAAGTCAAACTCTCAATCACGATTGGGACTCCATGGCCAAAGCATCCCCATGGATAAGGAGCCCTCTGAGTACAAATCTCGCGACTCGTCAAGATTCCTCAAAATACCCACGCGAAGCTTTGAGCGTTACCATCTCACCAAGACAAATTATAATCTGGGGATGCTGCTGCGTTGGCCGTGGTGCACAGCAGCAACATCAACACGTCCATCGGTGACACCGTGTGGCCTTCACGTGAACATATATAATAGGCGACGTTTCGGGCAATTACCCTTCTTCCTAGCACACAAATGAAGGGCCGTTGCCCGAAACGTCGCCCATTATATACAAGGTGCTTCAAAAAAATGTGAACACTTCGGAGAATTTGCAACAACACCACGTGACATGTGCTGCCTCCTCTGGGCTCTGGAGACCGCCTGGAGAAGATTCCAGGCCACGTGACAACGATGGCGAACACGTGGGGGGGAGACTCTTTGAAGTTATTAACAAGACAATTGTTATCACGTTACAGCGTAGTATTACCCGTTCGTTTTTCCATCAAAAACGACAGTCCCATCTAAGTGTAAACATTCTTTGAAGCACTCTGTATTTATCCACACAGCGTTATTGACGAATGTGTTGAGTATGTTGTTAATGATCCCTAAATTATCTCGCTCCCTCCCTCCCCCAGGAGGCCGTACATCCAAATGTATAGCAGAAGGAACCCTCCGAGGCTTTCGTGTGGAAAATCACTGCCATTGTTATCGGATCGATCCTCACCGCTGGCTATTGTGACGACTTAATTCGTGTTCTCTGTATTCCGGTATCGACCTGTGGACTTGCACACACTCAGACACCCTCGCATCTCCATTCAGGCAGCCTGAACAGGAGAAGAAACGCTCCATTCAATAAATCGCGACGGAGCCATCGCCGTGGAGAGCGCGAGGAACGCACGGAGTGGAAGATGGTGCGCAGGTGAAAGACATCACAGTGACTCGAGACAATCGGCGTGGCTGGGGTGGCACGTGTCCACGCGGCACGTGTCCACGCGGCACGTGTCCACGCGGCCATGAGAGGGACGGTGACTACAGGCGGTCGAGACTCGTGACGAAGTGACAGGAGAGAGAGAAAGCGCGTGTCTGAGAGGACGTCCACCACCAGAGATGTAGCGATGAAATCAGTCCCCTTCTCTGCCCTCGCCCCTCCACTCCTTCCCATCCTTTCCATATCCTTCCGTGATCCCTAGGCACCCCTCTATCGCTGTCACCCATTCTTCAATCCTTGTAACGCCCCTATGCACGACACCATTCCATTCTGGCATCGTGTCGCAGGCTACGTGGAGCGCCTCGGGTGAAAGCACTCTATGTAAACCGAGCTCTAGATGAGATTACAACATCGCAGCACCGAGACAGGAGATGGGCCACGGATTGAGGAAGCCTTCATCCAGCAGTGGATTGACCATGGCCGTTGCTGCTGGTGGTGAGCAGGATCGGTGTTGTCGCGAGTATTGCTCACGCAAAACTCGACCATGTATCGGTGTTGTGGGGAACGGTGGGGCAGCGGTTAGCGCGTCGCTATGAACTCGGTGATCCGAGTTCGATTCCCGCTCACGGCCACTAACGCCGGTGACGATTCTCTAAACCGGTCCTGTGCCTCCCCGAGGTCGACTCAGCCTCAAATGAGTACCTGGTGCGGTGTGTAATCATCACCACTGGGGAGACAAAGGCGGCCGCGCGTGGTGTTGGCCACCTACCCACTCGCGTGCCGTACGCTAACAGCACTTGCCCCAACAGTCTGCGAGGGCTACCCGGGGAAGGTCTTTGCTGCTCACGCCAACACTGGCGATGCTGACGAGGGGGTGGCGTTGGCACGACCGCCTCTCGCCACAGCGCGACTTGGACTGCTCGACCTGTACCGAGTCGGGGGAGAGGGCAATCAGAGCAGACACCGTGGTGGTGGTGGTGGTGATGATGGTGGTGATGGTGGTGGTGATGGTGGTGATGGTGTTGATGGTGGTGATGGTGGTGATGGTGGTGGTGGTGATGGTGGTGATGGTGGTGATGGTGTTGATGGTGTTGGTGGTGGTGATGATGGTGATGGTGGTGATGGTGGTGATGGTGTTGATGGTGTTGGTGGTGGTGATGGTGGTGATGGTGGTGATGGTGTTGGTGGTGGTGATGGTGGTGATGGTGTTGATGGTGTTGATGGTGTTGGTGGTGGTGATGGTGGTGATGGTGGTGATGGTGTTGATGGTGGTGATGGTGGTGATGGTGGTGATGGTGGTGATGGTGGTGATGGTGGTGATGGTGGTGATGGTGTTGACGCTTCATATCGCTGCCTCCCTTGTGTTAGTGAGATTTGGGGGTGTTGACGGGGGGGGGGGGGGTTGATCTGTTGGTCGTCTGGGATTTCTCTGCGTTGAAAACCGGGGACATGCGGCGCGAGTGATGGGGGAAGTTGTTTTTATTAATGAATTGAGAACGGTGGTGTTGGTGATGGTGATAGTGATGATAGTGATAGTAGTGGTAATTGTAATAATAGTGGCGGTGATGATGACAGTAGTGATAACGATGCTTATGATGGCAGTGGTTATTGTGACGATAGCGATGGTGGTGATGGTGAAATTGGTGGTGGCAATTATCGTGAAGAAGAGGATGGTGGTAGTGATGATGATGACGGTGAGTATGATGATGGAAGTGGTAACTGTGACGATAGCGATGGTGGTGGTAGTGGTGATAGTGGTGGTAATGATCATGATGGTCGTGGCAATTACAGTGAGGGAAAAAAGCATTTGATCACCTGCTGATTTTGTACGTTTGCCCTACTGACAAAGAAATGATCAGTCTATAATGTTAATGGTAGGTTTATTTAAACAGTGAGAGACAGAATAACAACAACAAAAATCCAGAAAAACGCATCTCAAAAATGTTATGAATTGATTTGCATTTTAATGAGGGAAATAAGTATTTGACCCCTCTGCAAAACATGACTTCGTACTTGGTGGCAAAACCCTTGTTGGCAATCACAGAGGTCAGACGTTTCTTGTAGTTGGCCACCAGGTTTGCACACATCTCAGGAGGGATTTGTCCCACTCCTCTTTGCAGATCTTCTCCAAGTCATTAAGGTTTCGAGGCTGACGTTTGGCAACTCGAACCTTCAGCTCCCTCCACAGATTTTCTATGGGATTAAGGTCTGGAGACTGGCTAGGCCACTCCAGGACCTTAATGTGCTTCTTCTTGAGTCACTCCTTTGTTGCCTTGGCCGTGTGTTTTGGGTCATTGTCATGCTGGAATACCCATCCACGACCCATTTTCAATACCCTGGTTGAGGGAAGGAGGTTCTCACCCAAGATTTGACGGTACATGGCCCCGTCCATCGTCCCTTTGATGCGGTGAAGTTGTCCTGTCCCCTTAGCATAAAAACACCCCCAAAGCATAATGTTTCCACCTCTATGTTTGACGGTGGGGATGGTGTTCTTGGGGTCATAGGCAGCATTCCTCCTCCTCCAAACACGGCGAGTTGAGTTGATGCCAAAAAGCTCCATTTTGGTCTCATCTGACCACAACACTTTCACCCAGTTGTCCTCTAAATCATTCAGATGTTCATTGGCAAACTTCAGGCGGGCATGTATATGTGCTTTCTTGAGCAGGGGGACCTTGCGGACGCTGCAGGATTTCAGTCCTTCACGGCGTAGTGTGTTACCAATTGTTTTCTTGGTGACTATGGTTCCAGCTGCCTGGAGATCATTGACAAGATTCTCCCGTGTAGTTCTGGGCTGATTCCTCACCGTTTTCATGATCATTGCAACTCCACGAGGTGAGATCTTGCATGGAGTCCCAGGCCGTGGGAGATTGACAGTTATTTTGTGTTTCTTCCGTTTGCGAATAATCGCACCAACTGTTGTTACCTTTCTAGATTTAAAGCTTTCGTGACTGCTAGGATCCATACATTTTTGACATGCATTTTTCTGGATTTTCTTGTTGTTATTCTGTCTCTCACTGTTCAAATAAACCTACCATTAAAATTATAGACTGATCATTTCTTTGTCAGTGGGCAAACGTACAAAATCAGCAGAGGATCAAATACTTTTTTCCCCTCACTGTATGACGATAGTGATGGTGATGATAGTGGTGATGGTTGTGGTGATGATGATAGTGGTGATAGTGGTAATTGGTGATGAGCTGCAAGAGTCCTCACCTGTGAGGTCGCTCGCTGTCAATGCCTCCCAACACAAATCCCGTTCTTCTACGGACGCACCTCGCCCACTCTCTCTCACTCCCCCCGTGCTCCCCAGTCCGTGTGTGTGGCTCCAGCCTCCTCCTCGGCCGCTTCTCCTCCTCGTGCTCCCCCTCCTCGCTTGCTCCTCCTCGTGCTCCCCCTCCTCGCTTGCTCCCGGGTCCACGAACGAACCCTTCGCGTGCTCCCCCCGCACTCGCGAGCGCTAAAATGGCGTGGACCTCCGTGTGCGACGCGGCTCTCTGAATCACAAGCAGCTCGCTCTTGGGTCGACGACACCACGGAGGGGGGGGGGGGTCCCTCCCCTCTCGCCCCCCCTCCCCCTCTCTCACTCCGCCTCCGCTACCCCCCCCCCTCTCTCGCTCTCGGTTGATGAATGCGGCTGCCGCGCCGCGGGCTGCAGCTATTTTGAGACGCGGCTCCGCTGAGCGCTGAGGTGGAGGATGACGACGGTGGTGGTGGTGGTGACGACGGTGCTGGTGACGAGCGCGGAGCCCTCGAGGAGATTGGCGAGGCAGCGTGAGGGATGGTGGAGGTGGTGGTGGCGGTGGCACGCAGCAAGTCATCAGACCGGCTCGCTCAGCCCCCCCCTCCCCAGCCATCCTTCTACCACCAACACCAAAGACACTCCCCCCCCCCCCCCTCTGTACAGCCCCCCACCACCTGATTCACCGTCCCCCAGCCCTCCCCCGCTCCGACCCTAGATGTGGTCACAGTTCCCCAATCCTCCCGAACAATTCCCACCCCCCCCCCCCTTCACCACTCCAAGTCACCCATTCCCAGCCGCACCCCGAAGCCCCCCCCCCCTTACTGTCTGCTAACCCACCACCCGCTCACCACCTGCACCCTCACCCCATAGCCCCCCACCCACCTCTTCCCCAAACCCCCCACTCCACTCTCCCGTAGACCCCCAACTCTCCTCCTCTAGCCACCCACCCATCCAAAGCCCAGAACGTCCCCCCCCCCCAATCCCGTTAGCACCCCTAGCCCCCACCCTCAGCTCACTCCCCCCCTAGCCCCCACCTCCACTCCCCCCCTAGCCCCCACCTCCACTCCCCCTAGCCCCCACCCTCAGCTCACTGCCCCCCTAGCCCCCACCTCCACTCCCCCCTCGACCCCCACCTCCACTCCCCCCCCTAGCCCTCACCTCCACTCCCCCCTAGCCCTCACCTCCACTCCCCCCTCGACCCCCACCTCCACTCCCCCCTAGCCCTCACCTCCACTCCCCCCTAGCCCCCACCTCCACTCCCCCCCTAGCCCCCACCTCCACTCCCCCCCCTAGCCCTCACCTCCACTCCCCCCCTAGCCCCCACCTCCACTCCCCCTAGCCCCCCCGACCAACTCCCTCCCCGAGTCTCAGGAACGCGACTTCACAAACTTGCGTCAAGCGACGCGCGTGACCCCTGGGGCGGGGGGATGGGACAAGGGGAGGGGGTGAGTCGAGCGCACCACGGTGTGTACACACTGTGTACTGTGTGTGTACTGTGTGTGTACACACACAGTACACACACAGTACACAGTGTGTATACACACAGTACACAGTGTGTACACACACAGTACACAGTGTATATACACACAGTACACAGTGTGTACACACACAGTACACAGTGTATATGCACACAGTACACAGTGTGTACACACACAGTACATAGTGTGTATACACACAGTACACAGTGCACACACACACAGTACACAGTGTGTACACACAGTACAAAGTGTATATACACACGGTACACAGTGTGTACACACAAGTGTATACACACAGTACACACACAGTGTGTATATACACACGGTACACAGTGTGTACACACACAGTACACAGTGTGTACACATATAGTACACAGTGTGTACATACACAGTACACACACTGTGTATATACACACGGTACACAGTGTGTACACACACAGTACACAGTGTATATGCACACAGTACACAGTGTGTACACACACAGTACACAGTGTATACACACGGTACACAGTGTGTATACACACAGTACACAGTGTGTACACACACAGTACACAGTGTATACACACAGTACACAGTGTATATGCACACGGTACACAGTGTGTATACACACGGTACACAGTGTGTACACATACAGTACACAGTGTGTACACACACAGTACACAGTGTGTACACATATAGTACACAGTGTGTACACATATAGTACACAGTGTGTACACACACAGTACACAGTGTGTAAACATACAGTACACAGTGTGTACACATATAGTACACAGTGTGCACACACACAGTACACAGTGTGTACACACACAGTACACAGTGTATACACACAGTACACACACAGTGTGTATATACACACGGTACACAGTGTGTACACACACACAGTACACAGTGTGTACACATATAGTACACAGTGTGTACACACACAGTACACAGTGTGTACACACACAGTACACAGTGTATATAGACGGTACACAGTGTGTACACACAGTACACAGTGCGTACACACACAGTACACAGTGTGTACACACACAGTACACAGTGTGTGTACACACACAGTACACAGTGTATACACACAGTACACAGTGTACACACACACAGTACACAGTGTGTATACACAGTACACAGTGTGTACACACAGTACACAGTGTGTACCCACACACAGTACACAGTGCGTACACACAGTACACAGTGTGTACCCACACACAGTATTACACATAGGGGCGGAGCGGTGGCGGAGCGGTCAGCGCAACGCCCCTAAGTACTGAGTTAGTTAGATCACGCTCACGGCTAACATCAGGGGCGAAAGATACAGTGAGGGAAAAAAAGTATTTGATCCTCTGCTGATTTTGTACGTTTGCCCACTGACAAAGAAATGATCAGTCTATAATTTTAATGGTAGGTTTATTTGAACAGTGAGAGACAGAATAACAACAAGAAAATCCAGAAAAATGCATGTCAAAAATGTTATAAATTGATTTGCATTTTAATGAGGGAAATAAGTATTTGACCCCCTCTCAATCAGAAGGATTTCTGGCTCCCAGGTGTCTTTTATACAGGTAACAAGCTGAGATTAGGAGCACACTCTTAAAGGGAGTGCTCCTAATCTCAGCTTGTTACCTGTATAAAAGACACCTGTCCACAGAAGCAATCAATCAATCAGATTCCAAACTCTCCACCATGGCCAAGACCAAAGAGCTCTCCAAGGATGTCAGGGACAAGATTGTAGACCTACACAAGGCTGGAATGGGCTACAAGACCATTGCCAAGCAGCTTGGTGAGAAGGTGACAACAGTTGCTGCGATTTTTCGCAAATCGAAGAAACACAAAAGAACTGTCAATCTCCCCCGGCCTGGGGCTCCATGCAAGATCTCACCTCGTGGAGTTGCAATGATTATGAGAACGGTGAGGAATCAGCCCAGAACTACACGGGAGGATCTTGTCAATTATCTCAAGGCAGCTGGGACCATAGTCACCAAGAAAACAATTGGTAACACTACGCCGTGAAGGACTGAAATCCTGCAGCGCCCGCAAGGTCCCCCTGCTCAAGAAAGCACACATACATGCCCGTCTGAAGTTTGCCAATGAACATCTGAATGATTCAGAGCACAACTAGGTGAAAGTGTTGTGGTCAGATGAGACCAAAATGGAGCTCTTTGGCATCAACTCAACTCGCCGTGTTTGGAGGAGGAGGAATGCTGCCTATGACCCCAAGAACACCATCCCCACCGTCAAACATAGAGGTGGAAACATTATGCTTTGGGGGTGTTTTTCTGCTAAGGGGACAGGACAACTTCACCGCATCAAAGGGACGATGGACGGGGCCATGTACCGTCAAATCTTGGGTGAGAACCTCCTTCCCTCAGCCAGGGCATTGAAAATGGGTCGTGGATGGGTATTCCAGCATGACAATGACCCAAAACACACGGCCAAGGCAACAAAGGAGTGGCTCAAGAAGAAGCACATTAAGGTCCTGGAGTGGCCTAGCCAGTCTCCAGACCTTAATCCCATAGAGAATCTATGGAGGGAGCTGAAGGTTCGAGTTGCCAAACGTCAGCCTCGAAACCTTAATGACTTGGAGAAGATCTGCAAAGAGGAGTGGGACAAAATCCCTCCTGAGATGTGTGCAAACCTGGTGGCCAACTTCAAGAAATGTCTGACCTCTGTGATTGCCAACAAGGGTTTTGCCACCAAGTACTAAGTCATGTTTTGCAGAGGGGGTAAAATACTTATTTCCCTCATTAAAATTCAAATCAATTCATAACATTTTTGACATGCGTTTTTCTGGATTTTTGTTGTTGTTATTCTGTCTCTCACTGTTCAAACAAACCTACCATTATAATTATAGACTGATCATTTCTTTGTCAGTGGGCAAACGTACAAAATCAGCAGGGGATCAAATACTTTTTTCCCTCACTGTACCTCGCCCCCTGAATCAATCCGTACTGGCAGAGCGTGGTGAAGTATGGTCAAATAACCACATGACCGAAGTGGCACGTCGGGGGTATTCATCCAGCAGCGGATAACCAAAAGAATATGCTGTACACTAGTGTAACTTTACAAATACAGTATTATACTGAAACACAGTATATAATACCGTCTGTATATATTGAGTCCTGCCGTGACGTCCACGTGGTGGTGATGCCGCACAAGACGCCTCGCGTGGCAAGACCGACGAGAGATTTGCGTGTTCAGGAAGCCTTCATTTTACACACACATGCTTCGCGTGTGTTTACACATTCACACTCTATATCTGGTTACTGTTTCTGTGTACATTGTATGACTATCAGTCTTAAAAAATAATCTGCCAGAGTCCCACACTAGGCTCGTGCAAATAGTTTCGATTTGTAACGCGACGCCTCAGTTGCTTTTGAGCTGATTTCTATTTTATTTGGTTCTTTCGGTAAAGTCACGTAGAATGAGAATAAAATAATAAATTAATAAAATTCTCACGACGTTTCGGCCACAACACAAGTGGCCTTCATAAGTGGCCGAAACGTCGTGAGAATTTTATTGTGTTATTTTATTTTATTAATTTATTATTTTATTCTCATTCTACGTGACTTTACCGAAAGAACCAAAGAAGATTAATCCTTGCAGTCACGAAAGCTTTAAATCGAAATCTAATTTCTATTCTCTGCCTTTTCCTGTGTAACTTCACTTCCATTTGTTTTCGCTTGCTTTTGTTGTTTTGATGGATCATTTTCTCCATTCGCCCACCATCTCACTCATTCACTCACCCGCCCATTGATGAATTCCCCGACCATCTCACTCACCCATTTACTCACTCGACCACCCACTCATTCCCTGACCTACCATCTCACGCACCCATTCACTCACTCACGAACTCACCCAATCATTCCTTCACTATTGCAAATGAGACACATGCTGGCCTCCTGTCTAAACGAAATCGACCCTGAAAGGTACTCGCCACAGTATCTGAAAACGACTTACATCTTCATCACAGCCATTCTAATGCCCTCCGGCATGTCTAGCCTAGGGGTCTATGCAATAGCTGTCACGAGTGGCGCGCAACACCGAGTTGCGAGTGGTTCATGGGTCTGCCAGTAAGAGGAGATGTTTGCGACGCCGGTTTCCAAATGAAGTTACGTGCGGTGCATTTAGTGACAC